CCCTACCCCCCCACCCCCAAAAAATAAGTTTATTTCACCTGCCTGAATTACACATTAAGCTGTAGCCTTCATAAAAAGCTGCACATTAATGTTTTTAATGTGATAGTGTGCACATAGCCTCATGCTGTGGTTTATTTAAATAGGTAAAATTAAATCTGAATTATAAGATGTTAATTTGTTAATTTCAGTCAAGACATTGACTGAATCTATTTTTATTTGCATATCAGCATACCTTAACATTTTAATAGTTTATAATATAATAATAATTTATACACTTGTGTTCTGGCAGTAACTATCAATGCATCTAAGCAAGAGATAATTATTTTCTACAGACTTGTCTAGTATGCAGAATCTTCTGAAACGATTTCCCAGAAATATGGAAAAAATAATTCAGCCAGTTTTTACTTTAAATTTTGTTTTTAAAAAATCTATCTGTTTTTTGTTACTACATGTTCTTTCAGCTGCTTAATTTCTCTTTGCTGCAGTGAAAGTTCAACAGCTGAGATGTCACAGTTTGGAGGTGATTTCCAACAAAATACAGATTCCTACATTTTGTTATTTGTACATTTGTATTTAAAATTACCTCACTAATAATCACTTGCAAATCTCAAAAGGAAACCTACAATGGAGCTCAAGAGCGAGATTAGGGATTGGGCGAAATGATCTATTTTTATTTCTACTTCTATTTAAACACTGCATCATTTGCCAACAGTATAAACTCACTGTAAAGTTATCATTTCTGTGTAGTGCTTTGCTCGTTGATAGGCTATCACATCAGTGACAGGCTTTTCAGGCAAATATAATAGGAGACAATGAACAAAAGAGTATTTGAAAGGCAGAAGTAGTTATTTGGGCAAAAAAGAGAGTACGTGTGCAGGAAGCCAGAGGTGTCAGAGACAGATTGACTCCCTCTGCTCTCTGTCGGCTATTGTGCGTCCGTTTCTGTGTGTTTGCCTCAGCGATGCCACCTTTTTTCATCTGACTTGCTTCAACACTTTTCCCTCTTTGCTTTTTTCCCCCCTCCTCTCTCGACAGCTGTGTCTTTTCCATGTCCTGTTTGGTTTCATTGTTTGTAAAAGTCGCTCATATACTGCTGATTTTTATCACTTTCAGACTCTGTTTTCCACCAGACAATGTTTTTCTGTTATGCTTACTGACACATTACTTGGAATGATGATTTTCAGCTCGGCCCTGTGTACAGTGACTGTGTGCCGGTGTGTGACTCGAGCCATGCGTGAGACCGTCTAGAGACAGGCAATAATGACTGTGAATCTGATGCGCTTTAAAACCCCTTCAGCAGGTTTAAAAGCCACCAATATGATTGTGTTAGTCCATAAACTCACTCAGAGAGTCCTTACCTCCAGCATGAGCGCGTGTGAATGTATGTGTGGAAGAGTGTATATATATGAGTGCAGGAGTGTGTGTATACAGGAGTGCTTTTTTCTCAATTCACCTGTCCTGCTTGAGTGAAAATGGACAGTATTTGAAGTTTTAAATGTCCTGTGCGTCGGTAGCATTGATGGCTCGCCTGTCCGTCTCTCCATCTCTGGCGCTCTCTTCATTAAAGCCCTCCTGCTATCCCAAACCCACAAGTCTGAGTGGGCTTTTGGCTCCAAAGTGATGTTGAAGAGCACCCGTATACGACTCTGCTATACATGTAGGGTTTGACCCCTGATAGATACTCACAGGATTTCTTCTATTGCAGCACTTAGTGCATTACCTGCTTGAAAGCTGAAATGGTTAAATTTTCAATATCCTAGATGGGGTTTGAGAAAAGCAAAAATGTTACTGTGCAGGGAGGAAAAGCGTGTTTTTAAATGGAATTATTTCAAGTGTTGGTCCTGAAGCTGCCATTATTGCAAGATGTGTGCGCATATCAGCTGTAATATGTTTGGGGCTTTTAAATGTGGAAACACTGTAGGATAAGATATTCTACAGGTTGTAACAACTGTGTAATTACGTGTTAAAATGAAACAGATTTTAATTTAGTGTATCATTGATTTTTATGGAATTTTATGAATATTACGTTTTTCTGGTGATATAAAAAGATGGAAAATTATAATCTACATGTATCCATTTGTAGTCAGTAAATACAGTTATAATAGCAATTAGGGGCTTGTTTCCTCTTTAAAAATATGTTAATGAAATATAATTGACAAATTAATGGATTAAATGAAGGCGTTATTCTTCATGGGCAGCCAGCAAGTGGGGGAATATTCTGGTTGTGTATTGAAGTGATTGACTGCACAGTGAAACTGCCGCCACATTGCTTTAGACTGAGGCCTGATTATACATGTGGTTCTAATTGAACCTGTTATTTAGGAGAGGTTGAGGGCTGTGTGTGTGTGTGTGTGTGTGTATGTGTGTGTGCATATAATAAATCCGGCACATTTTTCAAAGATGAGATGTGTTTTTATGATGGGTCAGAAGGCGGTGTTGTACAGGAAAGTTGCAGGACAGCAGAGAAGGAAAGCGGGAAGATGTCTTTAGCGGTCTTTAGGAAGTTGACCACCTGTGAAAGACAGAGAGTTTTTTGTTGCCTTTTCTTTTGCCTTTTGTGTCTTTTCGAAAGAGCTGTCACCACGTATGCGATGACAGCTCTTTCAGGCTCCGCTCGCAGTCCCAACATAGTTCTTTAAAATTTACGCACTTCTCTCCCTCTGATTGATAAGGTAATCATTTTGCCTGACACAGTGGTTTAGCCTGTGGTCATTAACATGTCCATGCGTGTTTCAGATGAGTTTTTCTATGTGTGTGTTGGGGTGGGTTGTGGGGGGGGGGATTGCTGGGAGGCAGGCCGGCTCAGAGATGTTTCTCCAGCTCCACAGAGCACCAGCCCATTAACAGCTGATGGAT